GTGTTGATACAAATTCGGTAGCGTTCTTCTCAGATTTGCTTTATTGATCCCCAGCTACAATAAATGCGGCCTCAGGATATGCGGTTTTCCAGTTTGCACAAAGTCCAATGTAGTTCCTTAAGAGCCGTCGCCGTGACGATGACCGAAGAGAATTCTCTCTGGAGATAATGCAGTCTGTATTTGATAGTGAGGTATTCCAGATCGGGAGAAGAAAAGGACTTGAGTTCCTGTACGTTACCACAATCACACCATGATAGTTAATCATGAAACATACACCACCGCCATTTCTTTTTTTTTTTTCCCTGGAGAGTTCTTTCTTCCTGTCCGCGCGATGTACTGAGAACCCAGCTGGCTGTATGGACGGGGACAGTATATCCGGAGAGAGCCATGTTTCCGGAAAAGTATGTTACAGTCGCTGATGTCTCTCTGGAAGGAGATCCTCGCTCTGAGCTCGTGTACTTTATTGTCCAGGGACTGAAGATTAGCGAGTAATATACTCGGAAGCGGTGAATAGTATGCCCGCCTCCTAAGTCGGACTAAAAGCTCACTCCGTATTCCTCTTCTCCGTCGGCGGCGTCTTAAAGCAGCCCCTGAGATGAGTGGAAATGCCTCTAGGGGTATGAACAAAGAATCCATTTCAGGAAAGTCTCATTTCTGGTCGAAATATCTGGTGACCGCCAATCTAATAACCATAAGTTATTTTCGGCTGTAGGTAATAATGCAAGACAACGTTCTGAGCAAATCATGTAAGAAATAACACAACAACAGCAAAAATACTGCAATGTCGGCTAGGAGCTAGGAACAGGGTGACCATGTCTTTCCGCGCCATCTTGAGCGATGCAGCAACGTCACAGCATATTTGGTGCTGTTCCACATCAAAGTGGTGTGAGAGAGGAAATGGTTGGGACCGCCCCTTGGAGACAAAGCACAACAGTGTGTCGCAACGTATCAGCCCTTCCTTTGATGTTTTGCGTGTCCCAAATGGCACCCTATTCCCTAAACAGTACACTAGAGCCCTATGTTCAAAAGTAGTGCACTATATAGGGAATAGGGTGCCATTTGGGACACAGAGAGTTGTGGGTTTTAATCCTGTCCTTGGAGAGCAGAATTTGATCTGCATTCTGCATGGCCTCGATTAGGACATTACAGGTTCATTAGGGGAGATCTAAACGCTTCCATATATCCTGCATCCTCCCCGCGGGGGTTGGAATCCTGCCAATACAATGTTTGTTTCTTTCTCCTCCTCTCCTCTCTACTCTGTTCTGAACTCATTGTACCTCTCCGATCTGAGCTTCTCTCTCTCTCTCTCTCTGTCTCTCTCTCTCTCTCTCTCTCTCTCTCTCTCTCTGTCTCTGTCTCTGTCTCTCTGTCTCTGTCTCTCTCTCTCTCTCTGTCTCTCTCTCTCTGTCTCTGTCTCTGTCTCTCTCTCTCTCTCCGTCTCTCTCTGTCTCTCTCTGTCTCTCTCTCTCTCTCTCCGTCTCTCTCTGTCTCGCTCTCTCTCTCTCCGTCTCTCTCTGTCTCTCTCTCTCTCTCTCTCTCTCTCCGTCTCTGTCTCTGTGTCTCTCTCTCTGTGTCTCTGTCTCTCTCTCTCTCTCTGTGTCTCTCTCTCTGTGTCTCTGTCTCTCTCTCTCTCTCTCTCTGTGTCTCTCTCTCTCTCTCTCTCTCTCTCTCTCTGTCTCTGTCTCTGTCTCTCTCTCTCTCTCTCTCTCTCTGTCTCTCTCTCTCTCTCTCTCTCTCTCTGTCCCCCTCCCAGCCCTTCTCAACAGACCGGCCAATAGAAGAACTAGGTCCGGTGGAAGAGGACGTGAGGGGGAGACAGGCTGTGACGTGGCAGCCCAGTAAAGAGGACTACTACCGTCGCCTTAGCGACCCCGGCCGGGACTACTTCCACAATAACAACAAAACAAATATGGAGAGCTTAAAGGTGATTCGCTTACATACTGACAGTATGATACTGAGCTGATCGTTGGCATACTGATGGGCTTCTGTTTTAAGGTTTGAGAGGCGGGCCAGTACCCAGTGGGTTGCCGATTCGAATTCCAGGGCTGATGGGGAAATGTTGTAAATCCCATATCGGCATATTCTATATCGGCATATCCTATATCGGCATATCCCATATCAGCATATATCCTATATCCCATATCCTATATCCCATATCGGCATATCCTATATCCCAAAGACTCACCATCTCTTTGTTTTCCTACCCAGCAACCAGAGACAGAGGAGTCCCCTCAGGCTCCTCCCCCTGAACCTCCTCTACCCACCTCATCCTCCTCTCAACCACAACCATCTGCCATCTCCAGTGTACAACATGTTAAAGTGGCATCAACTGGTGAGGGTAACACCAGTTAGTAGGGCTATGATGATAGCAGATGAGTGTAACACCAGTTAGTAGGGCTGTGATGATAGCAGGTGAGGGTAACACCAGTTAGTAGGGCTGTGATGATAGCAGGTGAGGGTAACACCAGTTAGTAGGGCTGTGATGATAGTAGGTGAGGGTAACACCAGTTAGTAGGGCTGTGATCATAGCAGGTGAGGGTAACACCAGTTAGTAGGGCTGTGATGATAGTAGGTGAGGGTGACACCAGTTAGTAGGGCTGTGATGATAGTAGGTGAGGGTAACACCAGTTAGTAGGGCTGTGATGATAGTAGGTGAGGGTGACACCAGTTAGTAGGGCTGTGATGATAGTAGGTGAGGGTAACACCAGTTAGTAGGGCTGTGATGATAGCAGGTGAGGGTAACACCAGTTAGTAGGGCTATGATGATAGTAGGTGAGGGTAACACCAGTTAGTAGGGCTATGATGATAACAGGTGAGAGTAACACCAGTTAGTAGGGCTGTGATCATAGCAGGTGAGGGTAACACCAGTTAGTAGGGCTGTGATGATAGTAGGTGAGGGTAACACCAGTTAGTAGGGCTGTGATGATAGTAGGTGAGGGTAACACCAGTTAGTAGGGCTGTGATGATAGTAGGTGAGGGTAACACCAGTTAGTAGGGCTGTGATGATAGTAGGTGAGGGTAACACCAGTTAGTAGGGCTGTGATGATAGTAGGTGAGGTTAACACCAGTTAGTAGGGCTGTGATGATAGTAGGTGAGGGTAACACCAGTTAGTAGGGCTGTGATGATAGTAGGTGAGGGTAACACCAGTTAGTAGGGCTGTGATGATAGCAGGTGAGGGTAACACCAGTTAGTAGGGCTGTGATGATAGTAGGTGAGGGTAACACCAGTTAGTAGGGCTGTGATGATAGCAGGTGAGGGTAACACCAGTTAGTAGGGCTGTGATGATAGTAGGTGAGGGTAACACCAGTTAGTAGGGCTGTGATGATAGCAGGTGAGGGTAACACCAGTTAGTAGGGCTGTGATGATAGTAGGTGAGGGTAACACCAGTTAGTAGGGCTGTGATGATAGCAGGTGAGGGTAACACCAGTTAGTAGGGCTGTGATGATAGCAGATGAGGATAACACCAGTTAGTAGGGCTGTGATGATAGCAGGTGAGGGTAACACCAGTTAGTAGGGCTGTGATCATAGCAGGTGAGGGTAACACCAGTTAGTAGGGCTGTGATGATAGTAGGTGAGGGTAACACCAGTTAGTAGGGCTGTGATGATAGCAGGTGAGGGTAACACCAGTTAGTAGGGCTGTGATGATAGCAGGTGAGGGTAACACCAGTTAGTAGGGCTGTGATGATAGCAGGTGAGGGTAACACCAGTTAGTAGGGCTGTGATGATAGCAGATGGGGATAACACCAGTTAGTAGGGCTGTGATGATAGCAGGTGAGGGTAACACCAGTTAGTAGGGCTGTGATGATAGTAGGTGAGGGTGACACCAGTTAGTAGGGCTATGATGATAGTAGGTGAGGGTAACACCAGTTAGTAGGGCTGTGATGATAGTAGGTGAGGGTGACACCAGTTAGTAGGGCTGTGATGATAGTAGGTGAGGGTAACACCAGTTAGTAGGGCTGTGATGATAGCAGGTGAGGGTAACACGAGTTAGTAGGGCTGTGATCATAGCAGGTGAGGGTAACACCAGTTAGTAGGGCTGTGATGATAGTAGGTGAGGGTAACACCAGTTAGTAGGGCTGTGATGATAGCAGGTGAGGGTAACACCAGTTAGTAGGGCTGTGATGATAGCAGGTGAGGGTAACACCAGTTAGTAGGGCTGTGATGATAGCAGGTGAGGGTAACACCAGTTAGTAGGGCTGTGATCATAGCAGGTGAGGGTGACACCAGTTAGTAGGGCTGTGATGATAGCAGGTGAGGGTAACACCAGTTAGTAGGGCTGTGATGATAGCAGGTGAGGGTAACACCAGTTAGTAGGGCTGTGATGATAGTAGGTGAGGGTAACACCAGTTAGTAGGGCTGTGATGATAGTAGGTGAGGGTAACACCAGTTAGTAGGGCTGTGATGATAGTAGGTGAGGGTAACACCAGTTAGTAGGGCTGTGATGATAGCAGGTGAGGGTAACACCAGTTAGTAGGGCTGTGATCATAGCAGTATCACAATATTTTTTCCATGGCAAAAATGAAAACACAAAGCAGACAAAACGCTTTGGTCCTTTAAAAACAATAAAATATTGTTTGCTATAGCTTGGGAAATAAATAAATGTGACTCTGGATGACAACATAGTGATGTTTGTTTCCAACATTAGGGTTGTTTTCCTAAAGAAGGTAAATCTGCTTCGTGTTTTGTTTCCTTGCCACGATACTAACGACTACCGCAATACTGGTATCGTCCCGACCCTACCAGTTTAGTGTTATACCAGTATTGCACTGTATTTCAACTTTATTTATTTATTTAACCATTGTTTTTACTAAGCAAGTCACTACTTGTAAAAGTTGGTTTGGGAATTGATGTCACCATTGGTTCAGTTCAATCATTGGTCAATCCATGACGTTTGGAATTTATGTTTGAGTCGGTTGTTTCCATGTGTTAACACGAGTAGGACAACGCTCTCATCCAAACACACAACAACAAACACAGCTGTCACTGTTTTATTTCAGTGGTGAAAACTTTAACACAGAGCAGCAAGGAGGTGAAAAGTGTCGATCTGACCAAGGTTTCAGACAAAAACCTCCTGGCTGGGAAAAGCAACGGTGATGAAAGGCTCCCGACAGAAAGGAAGTCGATGATTAATTTGAAACGATCAGAGCTAGTATCAACACAAGCAGTAAGCATCACGTTACCTTCCCCCTTCGATATTTCTCTTTCTGCTTCAAGGATGATATACAAGGCTGTTATACTGATAAATAGTTTGTCTTCTACAGAATAAGATAGCGGCGGAAGAGATTACTGTCGATCTCACCAAAGTTCAGCTGGGTGGCAAAAAGCTCCTTTTGTGAAATGAAATCCTCAGCAGCTGCAGCAGTTAGTTCTTCCTCAGATATTTGTTTTTCTGATTTTTAACCAAACACCTCTGTTTTGTTGTTCTTGAACTAATACGGCAAAATGTTATGTTATGCTGATGAAAAGCCAATACATTGGATTTCCTCTTTGCTCTTCCTCAGATATTTGTGTTTTTGTATTAATACTCCTTTCTGTTGTAATTATGGTGTCCTTATTAGGACATCCTGATATGGAAACAAGTCCGTCTGAGTCTGAGTCTGTCCTAATAATCACACTGTATGTAACTGATGAATGATATGGCTTTTGTCTTCCAACAGAGTAAGATGGTGTCGTTTTCCACAGAAGAGGTCCAACCTTCTGAAGAGTCGAATGTTGATCTGACCCAAAACTTCCTTGGGCTCGGTGGCAAAAAACCCCTCTGTGAAATGAAGCCTCCAGAAGCTTCAACAAACGCTGTAATTACTCTTCACTCTCTGATGTCTTGTTTCTGTTCTTGGACTTTTAGTTGTTTTAACCGATGTTCGGTCTTGCTTTTCTTCAACAGAGTAAAATGGTGGCGAGACACACGCTTTCCGCAGAAGGACTCCGTCACAACAAACCTTCTGAAGAGGTGATTACTGTTGATCTGACCAAAAACGTTCAGCTTGGTGGCAAAAGGCTCCTCACTGAAATGAAGTCTTCGGAATCTGCACACGCAGTAAGCACTAACATTGGATTATATCTTATGCAGAGATTTCTGTTTGAATTCATTAAGGGCTCGATCCAATCAGATTTGCGCTAGCCGACACCCACATACTGTAGCTGGTGTTCTGACGGTGTCGGAGGTGGAACCGCTTTAGAGCTGTCCAATCCACAAGCGGCTCCCGGCATTATAGCTATCGCGGACATTGCCATTGGCTGCACGGAGTCGCATTAGTAGGAATCCCACGCAGCCATGTTTACAAGTTCGAACACTGGAATGTGTGATGTAATCTACACCTTGATTAGGATGATGATAACATCCTCATTATATATAATTTAATGATTTTCAGTTTGAGTGTCGTTATTTCAATATAGCCTACACTTTTCTCATTCTGAACTTCTAACACGAGTGGGACGGGTGTGGCTTCGTGATAATGATCACAAAAGCAGCTGCTCACCGATTTGATATCTCCAAAGCAGTTACACCTCCGACAACCCCCAAAACATCAGCTATGCGGGTGTCGGTTATTGCCTGTTTAACACTTGATCTGATTGAATCTTGGCCTCTAATACACCACTCTGTTATAACTGATGAAGGTTAACTTGCCTCGTCTTCACCAGAGTAAAATCGTGGCGAGACACACGCTTTCCGCAGAAGGAGTCAGTCACAACAAACCTTCTGAAGAAGTGATTACTGTTGATCTGACCAATAACGTTCAGCTTGGTGGCAAAAGGCTCCTCACTGAAATGAAGTCTTCAGCGAATGCAGCACACACGGTAAACACTTACATCAGATTTCCTCTTCTGTTTTTCCATTTTCTGTTCTTAGATTTATACACCAAACTGTTATAACGGATGAATGGTCACTTTCTTTGTCTTAAACAGGGTAAGATACTGGTAAAGGCTGAGGTAAAAACTGTCGATCTGACGAAGGCTTCTGACAAAAATCTCCTGGCTGGCAAAAACCTGCTCGGTGACAAAAAGTTCCTCGACAACATGAAATCCATCACATCTCTGAAACAGACAGAGATAACCACAGTAGCTGTAGCACAAGCAGTAAGCAATCACATCACTTCTCCTTTTGAGATTTCTCTACTTGGACTAATACTTACTTACTTAGTCCCCTTCGTCTGGTGTCGGACATAAGGCAGCAGCAATCTTCTGCCACTGGAGTCTGTCTTTGGCCACAGCTTCTGCCCTGTCCCATGAGAGACCCATCTCGTCCAGCTCAGCTTCCATATTGGACTAATACACCGAGCTGTTATAACTGATGGTAAATTGGTGTTGTAATTGTTTTTGTCGCCAACAGAACAGGATGGTAGTTCTGCCCACAGAAGAGGCCAACCTGTCAGACATCGACTACCTGGTTCCCACCCATGACGAGCGGGGTCGGCCGATCGCTGAGTGGAAGAGACAGGTCATGGTGCGTCAGCTACAGGCCAGGCTATTGGACGAGGAGGACCAGAGGAGGAAGGTGAGGCACTCTTGATTGGATATCCCAATACGGTCGCAGCTCTGATTGGATATCCCATGATGCTGTACGGTCACGTCAATAGAGCTGGCATGTTATTCGTATCATTACACCAATCAGGGCGTAAAGAGCCGGATTCTCAGACCCAGATTAAGCCTACTCATTTCTTGTGTCCAAGAAACCGGCCCTCAGCATTGGTATGTCAGTGATATGACATGCACTGTATATTAAAAACGCTGTAATGTGTCACCTTCACCTCTGTAGGAGAATGGGAACACCACTTCCAAAGCGGTGAGCTGGAGGTACTCCCAGGCCCACAACGCTATCCTGGGCCCGTTTGGAGAGCTGCTGACCGAGGACGACCTGATCTACCTGGAGAAGCAGATCCGGAGCGTGTCCAACCAGAAGAAATGTGAGGGCTATGAGACAGAGCTAGCCCGTCTGGCTGAGGAGCTCAGGACCATCCTGCCAGCTCCCATCGTCAACATCACAGCCAGCACTCAGTTCAGAAACCCCAACCAGGAATCTCAGGTTTGAGTTTATTTGATAATAAAAAAATTAAAAAAATACAAACAGTACATACCACAGAGATCCTATTAAAGGATAAATGTAATTATATGCTACAAACAATGTTTCTAGGATCACACAATGAAGTCAATGACTTATTTTCATTGTGATCCCTTAATAAAAGGTCCCTCTGCCCGTGTGGTGCAACCGCATCTCAGGCATCGTAAAGAGTATGTCCCTGCTGATGGCCAACCTGGCAGACGGGCCGTACTCTAAGATGCCCAACACAGAGCTATCCACTGTGTTCTCCCAGACCCCGGACAGACCCACCTCTGCCCGGGGGCGCAGGGAGAAGATAGAGTCCGAGATCCACCAGTTTGGGGTTTCTGTCCGGAATCTGAAGTCCAACTTTGAAGGTCATGAAGAAGAAACCGAAGTAGACGTCCACGTGATGTCAGACATACAGGAGGAAGGCCTGGGGTCAGAGGTCAGAGGAATACAGGAACGGCCCAAAGAGATTAACCCAGCCCCTGAAGCTGACCAGAACAGTGACTCGGGCATAGCCCATGGTGACAACATGACCGACGTTAGGGAAACCACCAGTCTACGTAAGGAGCGCATCGTGGTGCTGTTCTTGGGCCACTGGAAGAAGTCAGCCTACACGGTGACTCTGAAGACCAGAGAGGCCGAGAGGAGAGCCAGTGTGGACGAGGTTGGTGGTAAACCTGGGGGGACAGATGGGAGGGGACCACGGAGGGGATCTCAGATGCCTCTGGGACATTTCTTCAAACAGAGGAGTGTCATCAACAAGATGATTGGTGATTGGAGGAGCATGATCTCCAGTGTTCCGTCTCGCCAGATCCGCCGTCTCCACCGGCAGCAGGCGCCATACTCCCCTGAACAGTTCCTCCCCAAGGTCATTCTACACTTTATACACACACACACACACACACACACACACAGAGACACTTTATACACACACAGACACTTTCTACAAACACAGAAATTGATTGTGTTCTGAATCTGATTCTAATTCCTCCACAAGGTGGACGGGGCGACGGCGGACTACGACAGCCTGACCCTTGACCTCTTCATGCTGGGCTACTTCCACATCCTGGAACTCGAACTCCCCGCGGACGAGAGGAAGATGAGACACCTGCTGTGCTTCGAGGTGTTTGACCACGTTGGTCGTTTCACCTGGGAGAGCGTCCGGGAGTTCCACAAGGCCGTCATGATGGACATCGAGGCTGGGAAACGTGAGTGGAAGGACGGCTTCGAGGACACTAAGGTCAAATTCTTTGGGAACGTGTCAACGACTCAGTCTGAACTGCCAGAGGTAGAGAAACAACAGTTCCTTCCAGAGGTCAGGCCGGTGCCCAAAGTCATCCTCCAAACCCCGACACCAGATGAAGGGGCTTTGATTAAACAAGGAACAGACATTTCCAGTTTCAGCAACGATGAGATTTGTAAATACATAGACAGGAGTTTCGCTTTCTGGAAAGAGAAGGAGGCTGAGATTTTTGATTTTGAATAGTAGTTGTTTTCACTGTACCTTCTTTTTTTTTTTTGATATTTAAAAAAAAATAATTTGTAGTCTGCTGACATCAAGTTATAGTTATGTAGTCTGCTGACATCAAGTTATAGTTATGGCGAGGGATGGGGTTACTGTAAGTGCATTTTATTCTCAGTGTGAATACCTTTGTGTTCTTGGTGAATAGTTGTTATTTAAAGAGAAAGCAATAAGTAGGCCTACAGTAAGCTTTCCAATCTTAGAAACTTGTAGTCAGATGCATAGTACAAGCTACATTGCATTCGGAAAGTATTCAGACCCCTTGACTTTTTCCACATTTTGTTACGTTACAGCCTTATTCTAAAATGGATTAAATAATAGTTTTTCCTCATCAATCTACACACAATACCCCGTAATGACAAAGTGAAAACAGGTTTTTAGAAATGTATGCAAATGTATTAAAAACAGAAATACCTTATTTACATAAGTATTCAGACCGTTTGCTATGAGAATCGAAATTGAGCTCAGGTGCATCCTGTTTCCATTGATCATCCTTGAGATGTATCTACAACTTGATTGGGGTCCACCTGTGGTAAATTCAATTGATTGGACATGATTTGGAAAGGCACACACCTGTCTATATAAGGTCCCACAGTTGACAGTGCATGTCAGAGCAAGAACCAAGCCATGAGGTCGAAGGAATTGTCCGTAGAGCTCCGAGACAGGATTGTGTTGAGGCACAGATCTGGGGAAGGGTACCCAAAAATGTCTGCAGCATTGAAGGTCCCCAAGAACACAGTGGTCTCCATCATTCTTAAATGGAAGAAGTTTGGAACCACCAAGACTCTTCATAGAGCTGGCTGCCCGACCAAAATGAGCAATCGGGGGAGAAGGGCGATGACCAAGAACCCGATGGTAACTCTGACAGAACTCCAGAGTTCCTTTGTGGAGATGGGAGAACCTTCCAGAAGGACAACCATCTCTACAGCACTCCACCAATCAGGTCTTTATGGTAGAGTGGCCAGGCGGAAGCCACTCCTCTGTAAAAGGCACACGACAGCCCACTTGGAGTTTGCCAAAAGGCACCTAAAGGACAGACCATGAGAAACAAGATTCTCTGGTCTGATGAAACCAAGATTGAACTCTTTGGCCTGAATGCCAAGTGTCACGTATGGAGGAAACCTGGCAGCATTATGCTGTGGGGATGTTTTTCAGCGGCAGGGACTGGGAGACTAGTCAGGATTGAGGGAAAGATGAACGGAGCAAAGTACAGAGAGATCCTTGATGAAAACCTGCTCCAGAGCGCTCAGGACCTCAGACTGGGGCGAAGGTTCACCTTCCAACAGGACAACGACCCTAAGCACACAGCCAAGACAATGCAGGAGTGGCTTCGGGACAAGTCTCTGAATGTCCTTGAGTGGCCCAGCCAGAGCCTGGACTTGAACCCGATCGAACATCTCTGGAGAGACCTGATAATAGCTGTGCAGCGACGCTCCCCATCCAACCTGACAGAGCTTGAGAGGATCTGCAGAGAAGAATGGGAGAAACTCCCCAAATACAGGTGTGCCAAGCTTGTAGCGTCATACCCAAGAAGACTCGAGGCTGTAATCGCTGCCAAAGGTGCTTCAACAAAGTACTGAGTAAAGGGTCTGAATACTTATGTAAATGTGATATTTCCGGGGGGGGAGGGCGGGTTTGTTGATACATTTGCAACAATTTATAAAAAAAACAGTTTTTGCTTTGTCATTATGGGGTAATGTGTGTAGATTGATGACGGGGGAAAAAACAACAACTATTTAATACATTTTAGAATAAGGCTGTAACGTAACAAAATGTGGGAAAAATCAAGGGATCTGAATACTTTCCGAATGCACTGTATAACGTAACAATACTACAAGCTATAACATTATTATAATAAAAGGAGCATAAAGGCCATGCCAGTGTCATGTGATTTCCTCTGTGAAGAGCCAGTACTGTCTGTCCATGGCTTTCTTCGTCACTCACCACTCTGACACATATCAGTATCATTACTATTAGCATGACGTCACCTCGTACCATGATGTTACGTAATGTTAAAGGAATACTTTGAGATTCTGGCAATTATGTACTTCCCCAGAGTCAGACGAACTCGTGGATACTATTTTTATGTCTCTGTGTTCAGTATGAAGAAAGTTTGAGGTAGTTTCGCAAGCCAATGCTAACTAGCGTTAGTGCAATGGCTGGAAGTCTTGGTATCTGCTACCATAGACTTCCAGTCATTGTGCTAACGCTAGTTAGAATCTGTGCTACCGCTAATTAGCAACTTCCTTCAAACCTCATGCAGAGACATAAAAATGGTATCCACAAGTTAAATCTGACTCTGGGGAAGTTGATAAAGGGCCTCATTGCCAAAATCCGGAGTATCCCTTTAAGTATTAAGGTTACTACAAGCTTCACTCTGTTGATCTACGTGCGTGAGTTATCGTGAGTGGAGTGGGATGTTTGGAGAAGTAGACACCTTTTGGTAAAACGATATCCTCGCCGGTCCCACTCCCATTCACAAGGGGCCAATAGCAACGTTTATTTTATTTTTGTCTTTTCATTTAGTGAAAGCAAGGAAGAGTCACCTTCCCTTGCTAGTAGTAGCCAGCTGGCAGCCTAGCTAGCTAGCCATTTTAGCTTTCCATGTGAAATAATCTGATTTATAATTTAAAAAATATGCCCTGGCAAATATTCGTATACTTGCCAGTGTAACCTAAAACACTATCCCAGTTTGATACGCTGCTTGTGTATTCATTCCCATAGAAGCTAAAAATATAACATCATGTTTTGCTCATGGCTATCTAGTTGGCTACAGCAAGTTCAACCTTTTCACAATCACTAGTTATTACTTCTAAACAAAAGTAATTGGATTCTTGTTGAATGCCAGAGCGTATTTACATTTACATTTTAGTCATTTAGTAGACGCTCTTATCCAGAGCAACATACAGTTAGCGAGTGCATACATTTTTCATATTGGCCCCCTGTGGGAATCAAACCCACAACCCTGGCGTTGCAAGCGCCATGCTCTACCAACTGAGCTACAGGAGGGTATTACAAGGAACCGTCCATTTTGTGACCCCCCCCCCCAAAAAAACGACATTGCGACACTCAGAATCTTGTTTGCGTAGAGCTTGTAGTAAGCCTCTATCCCCACAAGGTGGTGCTACTGTAGCTGTCGTGGAGCCACTGTAACCTCATTTCAGAAGCCGTGTAACTCCTTACATTTTAGTAATTTTAGCAGACGCTCTTATCCAGAGCGACCCCCCCCCCCCCCCCCCCGGGAATCGAACCCACCACCCTGGCGTTGCAAGCGCCATGCTACACACACACTCCTTGACAATATGTTTTAATTTCAATTACAGTATCTCATGAACTGTCCTGAGAACAAAGAGAGAGAGAAAGAGGCAGGGAAAGAGAGTGTCAGTGTGTATCTCTTGGTCTTTGTGTGTGTGTGCATGTCTGTTTGTGTGTATTGTCTTTGTGTGTGTCTGTGTGTGTGTGTGTGCCTGTGTGTGTGAGTGTGTGCGTGTGTGTGTGAGAGTTTGTGTGTGTCTGTGTGAGTGTTTGTGTTTGTGTGTGTGTGAGTGTTTGTGGTTGTGTGAGTGTGTGTGTGTGTGTGTGTGAGAGAGAGTTTGTGTGTGTGTTTGTGTGTTTGTGTGAGTGTGAGTGTGTGTGTGTGTGTGTGTGTGTGTGTGCGTGTGGGGTGTGAGAGGTTTGAGTGTGTGCGTGTGTGTGTGAGAGTTTGTGTGTGTGTGTGTGAGTGTGTGGTCTGGTGTGTGTGAGTTTTGTTGGTGTGGAGTGTTTGTGGTTGTGTGAGTGTGTGTCTGTGTGTGTGTGAGTGTTTGTGTTTGTGTGTGAGTGTGTGTGTCTGTGTGTGTGTGAGTGTTTGTGTTTGTGTGTGTGTGAGTGTTTGTGGTTGTGTTTGTGGTTGTGTGTGTGTGTGTGTGTGAGTGTTTGTGAGTGTGTGTGTGTGTGAGTGTGTGTTTGTGTGTGTGTGAGTGTTTGTGGTTGTGTGAGTGTTTGTGTGTGTGTGTGAGTGTGTGTGGTTGTGTGAGTGTTTGTGTGTGTGTGTGAGTGTGTGTGTGTGAGAGTGTGTGTGTGTGTGTGTGTGTGTGTGTGTGTGTGTGTGTGTGTGTGTCCCTTTAACAGCAGGTGTGGAGTGTGTTGAAACCCACCATGCTCTTTGGAATCTGACTTTAGTTCCGAGTCTCTGGTCGTCCTAAAAATAGCCCTCTGAAAGATCTGCTGCCCCAATAGCAACCTATTCCCTATATAGTGCACTACTTTTGACCAGGACCCATAGGGTGCCATTTGGGACTCACCCGCAGCTGTCTGCCCCAATGACTTGGCTCTAGCAGTTGTCCTCCATACTGACAACTACATGTTCCAACTAGCCGCTCTGTCTGTCACACACTCCTTTTACCGGAAATATGAGCAATTATTCCCTTGGTTTGCCTTTCTGGTTAGTCTGTCATTTATTCTCTCTGGTTCAGCATGAGAGACATAACATCATAGGGTCAGTTAGGATACAACCACAGCTTTTAGCTCTGACTCTACTGCTGTTAGCGCTGAGTCTACTGCTGTTAGCTCCTCTCTACTGCTGTTAGCTCCTCTCTACTGCTGTTAGCTCCTCTCTACTGCTGTTAGCTCCTCTCTACTGCTGTTAGCTCCTCTCTACTGCTGTTAGCGCCTCTCTACTGCTGTTAGCTCTGTTTCTACTGCTGTTAGCTCTGTTTCTACTGCTGTTAGCTCCTCTCTACTGCTGTTAGCTCCTCTCTACTGCTGTTAGCTCCTCTCTACTGCTGTTAGCTCCTCTCTACTGCTGTTAGCTCCTCTCTACTGCTGTTAGCTCTGACTCTACAGCTGTTAGCGCCTCTCTACTGCTGTTAGCTCCTCTCTACAGCTGTTAGCTCCTCTCTACAGCTGTTAGCTCCTCTCTACTGCTGTTAGCTCCTCTCTACTGCTGTTATCTCTGTCTCTACAGCTGTTAGCTCCTCTCTACA